TGGTTCAATGTGAGACTCATCAAAAATCTGTTTTTTTTTTTAAATATTTCAAGGTTCTCATAGTTTACTTATAAAGTTGTCGTAGGCAAAGAGAAGAACAAGACAAGAGTAAAAAAAATTTTTTTTTGAAATAAATATTTACACAGTTCCTTTCGTTATTTAAAAATTAAAGTTATTAAAAACTCTTTGAAAGTTGTATTATCTATTATCTACACCTATTATCTATATTCTACATATTGTACGGTGTCTAATGACTTAATTTTCAATATAACTTACGATTTTAAATAATGAAGCTCTAAATATTCTAATATTTGGTTGAGGCAGATTTCTACGAAGTATTTTGTACATAGCTGGTAAGAGACACAGATTTTTATAAATCTATGAAATTTTATTATATCTATTTAGCAAAATAAATGAAATGGAACAATGTCATCATGTTCTATATTTTTCCAAAAATTTAATTACATTAATAAATTAATTAAAAATATTTTTTTAAAATTATTAAACAATATTATTGATAAATGCAAAAATAGTTATAAAATGATGTATGATCTCTTTCATTACTTCTGATTTCATTTACTTCTTTATTATGCTTGATTTTCAATTTAAATTTAATTTTAAGTATTCCATTATATATATTTAATATCCATTATTTAATAATTATTATTTTTAAATATAAATAGTTATATTTATTTAGTTTTTTAAGATCAGCAAAAAAAAAACCTGTAATTTATGATACAAAAGTGACCTGAATAATAAGCGCCTAAATGCAGTTTAATTTACAATTCTTTTAGGCTCCGTACCTAGAATTTTCTAATGTCTGTTTTTCATTTGCTGTAATTTTTAATTCAACAAAAAATATGAAATAAAATAATAAATATTTGTTCATGTAAAAATTAGGTTATAAAACTGATATTAAAAATATAAAAGAACACTTAAAGCTGATAAATTTCTAACTTATTATTTCTTTAAAAAAATAAGTATTTATGAGAATTCTAGTTTCAAAAGATATATTTTTTATATTTATATATGTATATATCATTTATATTCACATGATATTCAGCAGGGATAGCATCTAAGCGAGCACCTTATATCGAATAAAGAAATAATATTACAATATTACAAATGATCGAGAAAGTTGGATTTGAAAAAATGCTCTGAATCTACAAGAGGTGCATAATTGACCTCTTGAATATAGTATAAAGTTCTCCAATAAAATAATAAATATAGTAAACAGCTTTATAAATAATAATCTATTTATTTTCAATTTAGAAATAAAAACTTTTATTACTTAAAATATTATGCTCTTACTCTATTCATACATTCTACAGACGATTCTATATAGGAAAAGGTATGCAATAGTATATTACAAAACAATCATCATATCATAAATTTAACTATTGAATTATGCAGATAATAATCATTTTATTCATCATTATTATTAACGCCGCAACGATCCTATTTGTATCTTGCCCTACCTCATCATATTATAATATATTGTATATTATGTCTTTTATTGTATAAATTAACCACTATTCCAAAAAAAATTTTTAGGTTATGTGTTTTGCTATATAATACATAAAATATCTGAATATTTAGTTATTTCAAATATTATTTATTACTTAACATATGTATTTGTTATATATATAAAATAAAGGTCTTTAATTTTTTGATTTCTATATTAAAAATAATTAAAATTAATGCATAACCAAATAAATTTATTTAAAGTATGAATTTTCGAAGATTATTTGAGATTATTTGCAAATGAAATCGTTTTTATTACTTACAAAAATGCAACAAATAGGTAAAAATGACTAATTTCAAGTTATTTATGCGCTAAAATAATAATTTAATAAAATACAATAAAATAAATGTATGGCATTAGTCCAATATTATAAAATCTATTTAATATTAGACTAAGAAACAATACAACAAACATGGGAACAATTGCTGAGAGACAAGTTACTTGACTAAAAATACACAGAAAAAATATTTTAAACTTAAACGAATGCATTTGTTGCACTTAAACGCGCGCATATGCAAAATGCATTTGCAAATGAACTGACACATTGACTGACAGACAAATTGACATGCACGCTGACGCACAAACGGACGAGCAGACGGATAGGCAGAAATAGGAAGGCGAAATGCTAAATTTTACATGAATACATTTTAATTGAGAAGTGTGGCAAAAGTCAAAATTTACATGTTTTACAATCAACAAAGCACAACAATGCTCTTCCGAGCATGTTGCAGACAAATCAATTCGAATTAAGTGTCGAAGTTCGAAAATACACTCGAAACTATGCATAATGAAATAGTGAAAGCTTTTTGGGACATAATAAAATTAAATGCAATTGTATGTATAAAATGGCGGCAAAATTATTTTAGTGAAGAAAATATTTATGCTTTTATTCTCTTATTCTCCACTTATTATTTATATTATTTGTTTATTTTTAATTTATTGTAAATATTTTTTTATATATTGTACAACGTGCAAATAATTTATAAGATAATTTCATTTAAAAATTTAAACAAATTATTCAAAAATGATATAACAAATTTATATGCATTAATGTGCAAAGCTGTTTGTAACAATATTCGAACAGGTTGGTTCGATTTGCCGCTGCAAATGTATTTTTAGCATTAAAAACATAAATTTGAAGAATAAATAAAATGCATTAGTTTAATCAGTATAAATTATAGAAAAATTAATGAAAATTTTAATTGTTGGAATATTAGAAAAAAAAAATATATTTTTATAATAATAATAAATTTCTCTGAATTTTTAACGAATCGTAATAGTTTTCAAAAAAACTATTACGATCGTTCTAATACAATATAGCATATAATATTCTTGATTTCGTATAATGAGCTCTGCAACCAAGTAATAAAGTAACAGTGTTAATAAATAAAGTAACCGTTTTGCACTGTTACTTTGTTAATCATTTACCGAACGCGTTATTTCAGAACACTATTAATATTATTTTAGTTGCAATTGTCGCACAAAATAACCACATTTTTATATTGTTTTTATATCAAAAGTGACACATTGCTTGGAGTGACACATATGGTTAGTTAATTGCAATAGTGTAAACGCTACTATAATTTTGTATTTGAATTTGAAGAAATCATTTTTTAAAAAATTTGAATTTGCTTTATGCTTTACTCCAGCTTTATGGGTTTACGCCAATGTATACCAAATAATATGACAAACATTTAGTGACAAATATTTTATGCTAATGTTAGCAATAATTTTATTTTGAAATTTCACGGTAATTATAATTACAATTTAGAGCTGTCATATTAAATAAACGAAGAGCATTTATGATGCACTTAATTGCTACTTTGTTGCATTTATATATTTTGCCAAAATATATCAAATTATGAGCTTTTTAGTGCTTATTGAACAGAGAGTGTAGAATTTAAACCTAGCAAAACTACCTTGAAAGAAATGAATGAGGAGAACATTTATTATCAACAACAATATTAGAGATATATGTTAAATGATATACTTTATGTGAAGGGTTGGAAAATAAATAAATCACATAAATTTGATATTAAGAGGTAATATATGTTATTGTATTAAGTAAAGTAGCTAGAATGATAAAGGGGATATTCTAGCTTTTGATAATTATCCTTATTAATAAATAATAATTATTTTTTTTCAATATTTAATGTTATTATTTAGGAGTAATAAATGTCTTCATTTACGTTTTCCTAAAAGCATTTTTGAGTGTAGTTGGACAAATTGCTAGTCTCATCTGAGTATTATTAAATTATATTAATTGATCGTTGTATTTTATTTAGCATACGGAGGTAGCTTTGAGATCAAAGAAAATTTGATTGTAAATAAATAAATAAAAGTAGAATAAATTAATAAAACTTTTAAAGGACAGAAATTGTTATTCAACTTTCAATATAAGATGTAAACGCTACACTAATGATCATTCACTGATGTTTTTAAAACGACGCTGTTGGCTCGGATCTTCTTATTTTTATTGGTAGATAATATGTGTATATATAATTGGATATGTGACAATATTGTGACATTGTTTCTGAAAACATAAATAAGGATCTTGCTCTATTTTCTTAACAGCTTAGCGAAAGTTAGGTTATTAACAGGCGCTTAAACAAAACGATATACTCGAGTTATTTTTTTTTCGGTAATTTTTATAATATAATGTTTTACATTATTTTTTATTTTGTGTTATAATGCAAACATTTTCTGTTGCTGTTGCATTAGTGATCTTACTGTTCTTAAAGAAGTTCACTTGGTTCTCCTTTATTCAGAACTTTGAAAGATAATTTTAATCGATGACTATGTGAAGGAGTATAGAAAAATAGGATCGTTACAGGAACCACAACAAACTTCTAAATGGTGTATTCTATAATTTGAAAAACCTCTATTTTAAAACTAGTTTTTAATGTAAGAACACATGTCTTTTTAGAATTCTATACATAAATTAAAACGAAATATTTAACACTGCATGTAATAAAAACCTATATTATTATATAAAACTGCTCCCAAACAAATATTTTACTTTTAATTAATTGCACTCCATCTGAATCTAAAAAATCTTGTAAATATGTTCCATCTACAATTTAAAATATTTGTATATATAGTTAAATATATTTTGCATGCTATGTGTATAGTTAATGGTTATTTTGGTTGTAATGAATGATTACAATTAATTCCTTTAGTACATGCAATTCCTATTTTATGAAATAATTATCCTATATACAACAATTTAATATTGAACGAAAATTCTATATCAATCCCTGCATCAATTACTATATAATCAGCTGTATATAAATGAATATCAACTACATAAAATTAAAATGGACTCTCATATAATTACATATCCAACACTGCTATTACTACATGCACGATATATCCACTATGTCCAGCATGAATTCAACCATATTATTCTCCACCAATTCTCTACAACTAATCCCATATACAACTATAATATAATAATGTGAACTTATTCAATCAGATAAGCCGGATTGTCGCAAGTGTGCAAAAGCTCTACAAGAGCTTGAAAACATCGATGATGAAGCAGATCAATTGGGTATTGGTTTCGTAAAGATACACGATGAGGCTTTAGCAGATGAATACAATTTGGGTAATCTTCCAGCATTGGTCTACTATCGCCATCAAACACCAATTATATATGAAGGTAAAGCACTCACCTACACATACACAAATATGATATCCTGTAACTATTAATTATGCACCTTACTTTAGGTGAACTCTCAAGAGAGGAGGATGTCTTGGAGTGGTTAGTGCAAAATAAGTCTACAGGCGATGAAGACGATGTTATCGAGGATGTAACGCCAAAAACGTTATCTACTTTAATAACCAATATCGATAATTTGGTTGTATTATTCTGTATGTTATAAATTAAAGCATCTGCGTTGTTTTGGGAAATATTCAAATAAATTTCTATCTACAGATGATCATGGTAATGATGATTCAATGACCGTGTTGGAAGAGCTAGAACAAATTGACGACGACTGCGATAAACATGGCATACAATTTGTTAAAATTGATGATGCCAAAACCGCAGCTGAATATGGAATTGATACGGTAAATAACAATTGGATAAAGGACAATGTGATTGATTGAAAACGGTGTGCGAAAATAAAAGATTTGAAATAGACCGCAGTAGATTAGGATAAATATATTCATAAAATTTTTCTAAATTTTTCAATACATTTAATATTACTCTATAAATAAAAATCTTGAAATCTTACACATCACGTTACGCACCCCGTTTTCGAAATATATTCATACCCTCTAATTGATATTTATCACTACATTGTAAAACCATAGATTCCAGCAATTGTGTATTTCGAAAAACAAATTCCAAACGTTTACGACGGCGATCTCATGGATGAAGAACAAATTTTGCATTGGCTTGTGGAACAGCTGGAACACGATGAAATTGAAGACGTTACCGATGAAATGCTAGACAAGATGGTAAAAGAAGGTCGAGTGATGGCTGTACTTTTCTGTAAATATTTTTACCTAAAATAATTACAAAGTCAAGTCATATTTATTATTAAATAGATGATAATAATGACAAGAAATCTCAGAGAATATTGGAAGAATTGGAAAATATAGATGACGAGTGCGATGCATTGGGAGTAACATTTGTGAAAATTGATAATCCAGAGGAAGCTGTAGAATATGGCATAAATAAAGTTCCTAAATTGATATATTTCGAAAAAGGCATTCCAACTATTTACGATGGCAATCTTGAAGACGAAGAGAAACTTTTAAAATGGCTGGAAAAACAAACAACTTCCGATCAAATTGAAGACATTACTGATGAAATGCTGGATTTAATAATTGAAAAAATGCCACACGTAGCTGTTCTGTTCTGTAAGTTATCCATGAAGTGCTAAAATATATTGCAGTTACAAAATCGGATCAAAGTATTTATAAAATATTCCTCATAAGCCTGAATGTACTTTTACATCAAGCTTCCGTCATAAAAAATCGTTGTCAGAAAGGAAGTATTTTTTTTATTTTTTGTGATGTACAGTAAATGTTGTGTAGATATTTATGTGTTGTTCAATAAATATTAGTCGTTTATATATAAGTACTAAGACTTCTTGCTTTTAATGCTGAACTAGTACTACGCTTGCCTGTAAATATTGTATATATACTATATTCTATTATTTACTAAGTAACTCAGTAACTAAATGACTAATTAATGACAGTCACAAAACTGCAGGAGATGGTTTAGGTTTAGTTTTCGCACATTATTTCAGTTGAAAATGTTCAATAAATAGTGACTTGTATCAAGTTCTTATGTATTAGCAATCACCCGAAAAATAGTTGAATAGTTAGAAAATATTCACCAAATTTTATTTATGTGTTTTTTGTTAATATTTAATGTTGACATATGTTGCAGATGACAAAGACCAGAAGAAATCTCAAAAAGTTCTAGCAGAATTGGAGAATATCGATGATGAATGTGATCAAAACGATATCGCTTTTGTTAAAATCGATGATGATAATGAAGCTAAAGAATGGGGTATCGATCAAATTCCATCTATCGTTTTCTTCGAACGTGGCATACCACATATCTATGAAGGTGATTTGATGAAAGAAGATGAACTATTGGGTTGGTTAGTGCATCAAAAACGTTACTCGGAAATTCCTGAAGTTACCGATGAAATGAAAGATAAGTTGGTTGAAAGCACAGAACATTTGGCTGTTATTTTCTGTAAGTAAATATAATATTTAATGTTCTTTGAGTCATTTCTAGGTCGATTTCTTTCATCTCATTTTTTTAAAAACTATTATCTATTTGAAATTAAGCAATACAAAAATAAAGTGCAGATTAAATTTCCTTCTTTGGTTAATTTTTACTAAAATATTATAGAACAGTCATAATTTTTTACCATAGCTCACTGTATAGATATAGATCAGTTATAGATCACTGTTTTTTACCTAAAATATGATATCCTGCAGTGGATTAAGAAGTAGCTAAAGGACAATCCACTAATATATGTGAGGGAGAATCATTTTTTAAAGCAGTTGTAGATCAATAAATTAAAGAACACTCTTAATATTAGCGAGACTCCCGCAGTAATTTTTTTTTTTTGAAATTAGAAATATATGAAAGCTACCACATAGGACTGTAACCTAACACTATCCTTTCGATATTAACAATTAACAATACTCTAATCATTACATACAGTAATCGAGGGTATATATAGTTAAATTATTATTATTAATTAAATTAGATTAGTGAAAGAGGTGGGAGTAATTGTGAAAATTATTATATAAGAGTGAGAATATTAAGTATAGACTTTAGAACTGGGGTCACGAAAACCGCGATTATGTAAGAGGGTGTTATAGATTATACGTCATCAAAATCCGGTGACAGAATATTGTATCACATGGTCGTTAACAAATCAGAAAAAATCGTGACATTGCGAAGAAATTCAAGAAACTCAGTTATGTAGGTGGTTGAAGTACCGCTGGACGAACACCCCGATCATCTACTTGATTATCACAGTCTCTCCAAAGTTTAAGTAGTTCTTCTTTGCTACTATTCAATTCATAATTAAAGTCCTAATTAATCATGCAATTATATTATTATATTATTTTTAACATATTATATTATTTACTAGATGACAAGGATGATAAACAGGATATACGCGTACTTAATGAATTGGAAAATATTGATGATGAATTGGAAAAGGAAGGAATCGTTATTGTTCGTATTGATAACGCTGCTGAAGCTAAAGAATATGGTTTAGATCATTTGCCTGCACTGATCTATTTTGAAAACAAGATACCAGCTTTATATGAGGGTGACTTGATGAATGAAGATGAAGTTTTGGAATGGTTGATATTACAAAAGAAGACAGCAACCATTGAAGAAGTTACTGATGAAATTTTAACCAATTTAATAAATGATCATGAATATGTGGTTGTTTTCTTTACGGGTCCATGCGAACCAGGCGAAAAATGTGATAATACATTGAATGCACTCGAAAGTATTGATGATGAATTAGATGAAGCTGGTATTATTTTTGTTACCACCGAAGATACAGTTATTGCCAAGAAACATAACATTAAAATTTATCCACAACTGGTATTCTTTAGAAATCGTGATCCACTCTTCTTTACTGGTGATTTGGATGATGAAGATGAAGTTTTAGCTTGGATAACTGATGAGGATACTTTAGAAATACCCGGTAAAATTGAAGAAGTCAATATAAAAATGTTGGACAAAATATTAGCTGAAAATGAACATGTTGTAGTATTTTTCTGTAAGTATAAAGAAAATATTTAGATATTATATATATCAAATATTTATTTAATAAAAACATTGCAGATCGTGAAGGCGATAAAAAATCACAGAAAATATTGAATGAATTGGAAAATATCGATGATGATTGCGAGCAAAAGGATATTGATTTTGTTAAGACTTCTGATGATGAAATTGAAAAGGAATACGATTTGCCTGCTCTGCCAGCACTTGCATTTTATAGAAATAAATTTAGAACCATTTATACAGGTGAAAATCTTGTGTTATAAATATTATGAATATATGTACCCCTATTCTGTGTACTTGATAAATTCACCATCTTGCTTATTTGACAAGGTTGGCAATTTGTCAAGGTTTTGGTATTCTATACTATAAATAAAAAGATCTTTTATTGATAAATTGTCAAGTTGTAAGAATTAAAGAATTAAAAAAAAAATAATGACATGATATATATATATACTAACTAGTTCACATACTACTTCTGATATTCAAAACATTTTTCACCATAGGGTGGTGAAAATCAATAGACAGTTAAGCTTTGAAATTGATCAGGGTTTACACAGCATAGCAAAAAGCTTTCTGCTTGATAAAAATTTGGAGTAATTGTCAATACTTGACAAATGTATCAAGTTCACAAAATTGGAGGGATTATATATATATATATAGAGTTTATTACTATTAATTAATGAAATAAAAAATTTTTATTACATAAAATACAAGTCCTTATAAAATTAATAATAACATATTTTTATTATCTTGTATAAATTATAATTACTAAAAAATATTCTATTCTCTTATAGGCGACTTAATGAAAGAAGATGAAATTTTAGAATGGGTTATTGAACTTTACGAGTCAACCGCCGATGTTATTGAATCTGTTGATCGCAAAACTCTTCAAGTACTCATAAATGATGTAGAACATTTGGCTGTATTTTTCTGTAAGTAGTAAATCTTCAAATGTAAGAGAGTTGAAGTTATTAACTTTAAATCTCCCATCAAAAGAATATAACACTAACTTTTTGCCTTTTGTATACAAAACAGATGATGACAAATGCAATACTTGCCCTGGTATACTTGAAGAATTGGAAAATATCGATGATGATACTGATAAGCATGGCATTCAATTTGTGAAGTCCAACGATGTTAAACTCGCACATGAGATCGGTATTTTTGCATTCCCCGCATTGGTCTACTATGAAACAGGCGTTCCCATCATGTACGACGGTTAGTCATAATAAACATTAATGATTAAAAAAATATATTTTTTATAAGTATATTATTTACATTAATAGGTAATCTCAGAAATGAAAATCGTGTACTGCAGTGGTTAATCGATCAAAAGAGTAAGCGTTCTTGTTTAAATTAATTGCCATTTATTTAATGAGACACTTTTGCATATAAACAAAATCATTTCACGCATTAACTTTGATATCCATCAGATAATAGCAGAAATATTGTTTTATAATTATTATTTTATTTAAGAGAGAATATACTTTATTAACACATACTTTTGATAGCTCCATACATATTCTGTTTGTTAAAGAAAATTCTCAAAGTAAAACTACCAGTTTAAAGATTTTAAGGATATTTTTTTAGGTGCGTATGAATTATTCTACTTGAAACTGATTTAAGACTTAAACACTTCACTTATTTCTATTTATAATCATTTGTGGAAATCAGTACATTGATATCAAAACGATAATATCATATCCCTTCATGAAACTGATATGTGAAAATGTAGCTCACAAATATACTACTTACAATTCAATTATTTCCTTGACAGAGTTTCAAATTAATTTTGATTTTGATTTTAATTTTAAATTTAAAATTTTATATGCACATTAAATATAAAATATAAAATATTTTTCAAATCGAAGATGATAGCGATGAAGATAACGATGACGACGATGATGATGATGATGATGAAGATAATGGAGATGATAATGATGAGGATGATGAAGATGATGACGACGATGACGATGATAATGACAATGACGATGACGAGGATGACGATGATAATGACAATGACGATGACGACGATGATGACAATGACGACGATGACGATGACGACGACGAAGACGAAGATGAGAACGAAAGTGATATAATCAGGAAAAAAATTACTCGTAGATTTAAATTAAAAAGAATTCCAAAAGTACATCGAACTAAAAACTATGACGACGATGATGATGATGACGATAATGATGATGATGACAATGACGATGACGATGATGACGATGATGACGATGATGATGACGACGACGACGACGACAACGATGAGGAAGATGATGATAACGATAATGACGATGACGATGACGAGAACGATGATGATGACGATGATGATAATGACAATGATGATGACGATGACGATGATGATAACGATAACAATGACGATGATGATGACGATGACGATGATGACGACGACGACGAAGATGAAGACGATAATGATGATGACGATAATGATAACGATAACAATGACGATGATGATGATGATGATGAAGACGACGATGACGATGACGATGACGAAGACGATGACGACGATGATGACGATGACGATGATGAAGACGATGAAGTTGTTAAAATTAGAAAAAAATATATTAAAAATTTAAAATTAAAAAAAACGCCAATAATTCATCAAGCTAAAGAACTGTGTTCTGGTCAACTTTTAAAAAAAATAGGTAACAAATAAGTATTGGCTTTGAATCTTTTGTTTTCGGTTACCCCAAAGTCCATTAATGAAATTCAAAAAATTGAGCTCAATATATGCTATTTCGTTTATTATATATTTTTTTCAGAGAATATATTAAATGTATTTTTTAATTTAAATAATTTAATTTAAATAACAATTTAGTTGTTTTTAATTAAACATATATATTTAATTATATATTTAAATTATGGTTTTTTTAAATAAATTTAATTTGAATTAAATTATTAAATTAATAAATACTTTTTCAAACGAAAATGTGTTGATTTTGCTCAGTTTACTTAAAGCTTTAAAATACCCTTAATAGTCCCATTTTACATTACTTGAATTGCATATTTTTATAATTAGAGTAGAAAAATTTAATTACTTTTGAACACATTCAGGAAATACTACATCCGATCAAAAATAATATTCTTAATATATAAAGTATGAGATTTACAAATACAGTACCGACTAAAAAAATGTATTTGAAATAATATTTGAGAATGAAAAACGAGCCCGTAGGATCTTTTAATTAAAAGCAATATATTTATGAAAGCTAGAACAATGGAAAATAGCGATTAGTTACCTCGGGCGCTATATGCTGCACCAGAGAGAAGTCGAGATTATTATCGCAAATATGTATAAGTTGTAATTATTTGTAAAGTGCAATGTGTATAATATATAGATATGTATATATATATACATAAACACAAATTATCTACGAAAAACTATAAAGAGAAATTAAATATATATATATATATATATATAAATAACAAAGTAATAGTCTGATACATACAAATAATGCATTATCAGTCCTCATGCCATTACTGATACTTATATAGTATAAACATATATATTTTAATTAAGTGTTTAACAGTTAGATACAAACAAATGGTCTCTCTCTCTCCCTCTCTCTGACTTTCTTTTTCTTATCTCCCAGTGGAGCGTAGGGATTCCAAACAAATTGTGTACTATAACTACGAAAATAAATTGATTTATGATTAATAAATTATGATTAATAAATACATAAATTGATCAATAAATAAAAATATATAAAAACATTAATTTATTTACTGGATGTGGTGTTTCACTGTACTATTTTTACCCTTCATAGTTCAATACCCTTTTTAAGTTTTTTTTTTACAATAATGAAATTAATTTAAAATAAGTATAATCATAGCTGACACAATGTTTTCTTTTAAAGAAATAATTATTCAAGAAAAATCTTAATTAATTAACTATAAAATTATACTTCAATTTTGTTTTGTTTTAACATTTACAAGAACTGTAACTTGTAAAAATTTTACGTGATTGTTTTCTCAATTCATATTGTTATTAAAGCTTTGATATTATATATACATAAATTTTATTTTTATTAATTATATAAAATACTTTAATTTATTGCAAAAACAACCAAAATTTAAACATATTTATCTGTTAACATTAATTATAATAATCACTACAAAGAACTGAACTTTTCTAATTGTAAACAAATTAAAAGAGAAAAAAATAAAAATTGTAGTTTAGATTGTGATAAGTCAAAGGTCACAGGCATCAAAAGCATTTTGTCAGTTATTAGTTAAAATTTAAAATAAAAATTCTACGAATTTAATTTATTTAATTATCATATAGACGAGCACGCTTTTATATCAAATCGCAAATAGAACTTCAAAATATATACTAACTTTTTCTGTGGTTTCTTTCCTCTAAATAATATTTATCATGATATTGACTTGAAAAGTACCAAAAGTACTTAAGACTATGGAAAAATTTAATAATAAAAATAAAAATTATCATTTCGTGTATATTTTCTATTGTTTTTTTAAATAACTTTTACTTGTTTGTATAAATAATTTTTAAAATAAATTTAATAAAAGCAAGTTTGATAAGAAACAATCTGACAAAATGTTTTTGTTTGTTTGCACACAGATGACGAATGTTTCTATGTTGGATTGGGTCATGAAGGCCGTTCAGCTAAACGAGGCAACAATTACGTTCCCAACGACTATAAACCATTCCAGTGTTGTCCAACAAAATTGGAGAAATCAACGAAAGTTCCTAAAATGACTGCACAACGCATCGGTCACAGTGCTACCGAGACTGGCGGCAAGCGTTCAGGTCAAGGTAATTTCCAATTTTCTTCAAGCGCCGATGCAACTGCAACAAAAAAAACTAAAACTTCACCAAATAAAGTAAATAAAAAAGATATTAATAAAAATAACGATAATGACGATGATGATGATGATAACGATGATGATGATGATGATGATGATGATGAGGAGGTTGAACAATTAGTCAAAGTTAAGTACAGCAAAAAGGGCTCCTCCTCCTCCGCTAAAAAATCAACGAAAACTAATGAAAAATCAACAGCCGCTGGTAGTCCAGCAAGCAGTGGAAAATCAACTAAAAAAGCCACTGGCAAAGAAGGGGGAAGTGATAAGATTAATGTGAAAACTGGTACGTTTAGTTTTGGAAAATACATTATTTGGTAAAAGGATTACTGTGGAAATATAGTAAGCCGAGTAGTTAGAAATGAAAGAATAAAAGTACTTGACTTTGGTCGATTAAATTTAAAATAAAGAATGTAACTGCAAGAAAAAAAATTTCAAATAAGCCAGTAACTATATACATACATATATATACAGACGAACAAGAATATAAGCAACATAAAGAAAACAAAAAATAAAACAAAAAATAAAGAAAATGATACAGAACAAAAGCCAAGAAACACAGCCAAACTCTTGTACTAATTTAATTAAAAAATATTTAACAATATATCCCTTTCCTGTGTTTATTTGTTTGTATATTTTTCTCTTTTTCTCTTCTCTTTTTTGTGTCTTGCAGGCATTAATTATTTGCATAAACGATTAAAAAATATATATGACCTCCTTTTTCAGGATATCTCTCTGTGGGAATAAGGAATCAATATAAAAATTAACAAAATTTAATGTTATGATTAACTGTATAAATCATATAATATTTCAAAATCCCTAAGAACCTTAATTCAAATAAAAATAAAACCTAAACACATAAATATAACACTTTAAAAACAGAAACTAAATACCTTAAATAATCAGCAACAAGAGTTAACGATTTCTTCCCGTATCAACACAATACTACTACATGAAAATTATAAGAATCTGAACCTGTGCCTGAGCCTATACCTGAATCTGAATATCTTTTATATCACGCATGGATAGAATTTTTGATACTGCCAAGTTATTATGGATTACATTAAAGAGTCATACCACATTTTGCCACATTATGCCACATACAACAACAATAACGTGCCGTATTCAACATTCAACCGTCCTATTTGAATCCCTCAACATCCTTGGAGTGTGCAACTTAACAGCCCAAAATCAATTAATGTACAATAAACTACATAGACCTTAGTGTATAATACGTATATGTATTAAAATTAATTATGTTAACATAGTTAGTTTCACATAACCTAACATAAGTTGTTTCATGTATGTAAAAACACTATCCTAACCCTTAAATTGTCATCAGCCAAAATGTCAGCTCCACCAAACTGCTTTCCTTTCAGTGTAAAATTTTTTATGCACCCAACAAAAAGTTTTTCTTTTCTTTTTATCAGTTAATAAATAATAATTTATTAATAAATTATTTTACATTTTTGCCGGTTATTTAATTAAATACAATAGAAAAACAATTGATAAAACATTAAAAAGAATATTGAAAGTAACTATAACTTGTTTATCTTTTTACTTTATTTTTTAATTTAAATTATTAAACAATAGTCTGTATTTAAGTTTTATTTTTTAACTTGTCTTAAATACAGTTTCTGATTTCCGAGTTTTAAATATTTTCACTATCAAAACATATAACTCTAAAATAACCGGCAAATGTACACAGAAAATATATCCGTATGAAAATAGATCTTAAATGTCTAATAACAACATAACTAATACATGTTTCCGGATATATCACAAATAATAATAATATAAACTTTATAGATGTATTATGTTAAAAAATGTAATGTTTTTAATTAAAAAAATTTTTTAATTTACGGAATTATGACTTGCTCATTGTTATGGGAAATTATTAAAATCAAATCAACGTACTCACTATCTTACATATAGGTATTACTGCAATTAACTTAAAAATCCCTACTTTAAACTACAAACGGTATATGTTGCAATGTTTATAACTGTCAAAAATTTTTAAAAGGCAGTGCCGTTGTAATTTTCTTTAGAAACAGGGATGACATACAATCGTATGGTAATAAAATCATATAAATTGCTATAAACGAAAAAAGTAATGAAAGTGTGTACGAAATTTAAACAAATGCAAGCCGTTTTTCCTATATGAAGCCAAGAACTCGTAGGATTGTCTCATTATTAGTGTGATACATAATAAATCTGTTAAGTTTTCTTATTGTTATTCTTTTGTTCTTTACAAATAATTTTTATTTTTATATATATTATTTTATTTAAATAGAAATTATTAATTTATATACTAAACAAACATAAAAAAAAATATTTTTTCATACTAAACTATAATTTGTAGAATGCATTTTTGGTAATAACGTTTGCTGAATTTCTTTGCATAATCAAATTTACTAACAATAACTTTACACAAATAAAACACTAACTTTACACAAACAACAAACAATAGATTTACTTAAAAAAAAAATAAAATAAAATTGTATAAATGCGATATACTATGCAACATAATTTGTGTATCGTAACCTTTTTCACGTAAATATTTTTCTCATATATATATAAATATATTTATGAATATGTACATGTGTATAAAACCATACTTAACACTTTTGATACTATTTTAACTTTACAATTTTTTAACAGTTTTAATTAAAAAAAAAATTAACTTTATTGTGAGGGAACTATTTTTGTATGTAAATTTTTTTGTAAATTTTTAAAACTCGTTAAAACTCGCTTTGATTATTATTTTTAAAAATACTACAACAAAAATGTACATAACAAAATATATACGTTAATTTGTTTAACAAATTATGTATGACAACAGCAATAAATACGTATAATAAGGATAATTTGTTGTCCTTTAGGAAATTTTTAATAATATTTAATATATATTTTACAATTAAATTGTAAATTACTTATGTAAAGAAAATTTTAAAAACTTTGTTATCGATATTTTTTTAAATATCGAATTTAATAGTAAATATATAATTAATATGTTATGTTTGTAGAGAAAATCTTTAAAATATAATTGTTGTTTTTCAAATTGTTTGTAAATTATTAGTGAAATTAATTTAAAAAATGTTATATCTATAAACAATGAATATATTTATAAAATAAAAAATCTGTTGAACAGCAGCGAAATAATAATTAAAAAACAATCACATTTTTTTATTCAACTTATTTTTTTTTTCGACAATATTTTTTTAATCTCAATCCAGAAATATATGTTACAAAATACATTAAATAAAAAGTAATTAAATAAATATTGAATTAATTTTTTACTACAATTTTGTTTTTAATCGCAAACAAAGAATAGAATTTACAAAATAAATAAATAAAGAATTGAATAAATAATTTAAAAAATAAAAAAAAATAAAATGCAATTAAGAACAAAATTATTATTATTTTTAAATATTTTCATGTGCTATAAAATAAATTATGAATTTAATCAATTCAATAAAATTATAAATGAAATTAAACTATTTCTGTTAAATTCTTCAATATATTACCGCATATAAAATAATATTGGTTGTTTTTGTTGAAATTTTAATTAAATATGTAAATTTTCTTATAATAATTATTGTTAACAGTACACTTAATTTTTTCAAAATTACAAATTGTAAGTCAATTTTATAAAAAGTTATATAACAAATTTTGCCGTTTTAAACTTTAGCGCCTAAATAATCTATTTATTATGAACAGAAAATCGTTATATATGGATTACAACACTACATTTTCTATACTTTTTTATAATATATAGTTCAGTTCACATCAAATAACAATAAAATATAATTGTACTGCCCAATTTTCCTTTTATCATCCTTACCTCACTTAATTAAAGTGTAATTTAATTAAGTTATACTTTAGAAACCAAAAATTTCATTGTCTCACTATTTAAGCGTTAATAGTTTTACTGTCGCATATATAATATTAAACTATATAATACATAACTTAAAAGAAAACATAATTTAATATGAGATTAAAAAATAGTTTAGAGTATACATATTTTCGTTTTAATTTCAATTTGCTTTTGTAAATTCATTTAATTATACAGACATATATGTTCACACCTGCTTAATAAATTGAGTTAATTCTAGGTTTCACGATCCGTTGTTGACTATCTTCGGCAAAGTAGAAATCTGATATCTAATCTGATTGCCTAATCGTAAAAAGTTTTAAATAAAATAAGTATATATTATTTATTTCTACAAGAAGTGTAGTTATTTTTCCGAAGAGTCTACTATTTTTACAGTGTTACCACCTCACAATTTTTACATCCAACAAATTAATTTACCAATTACAAATCTATCATGACTAAGACTAGGACTATTATTTACTGCTTTTCAATATGCTTTTTATTATTTTTCACTAGTAGTATGTGGGATATCCCATTTCCATACCACATAGCTTGTGATGCGTTTAATAATTAAACATAATTGACAAATAATTCCTTGTCTTTTCACAAGATTTAAAAAAATACTATACAACTCTACTACTCATTCTTACTTAGGTAATAATTCTAGCCTACATTATAATTTAGAGTAATGTTAGTTGAAATCGATCAAATACATATATTACAAGATTTTAAGGATACAATAATTTTCTTATGAAGCATTTAATAAATAATTTATAATATTTGAATAATATTATTATAATATTTATTTATTTAATATTTTATTTATCATAACTTTATGAATTAAAAAAATTAAGAATTCTGCATAATAAAAAAAAATTACAAATGTAGTACAATTCAGAAAATATCCACAAATAAACATATTTATATAAATAGTTTATTTATTTTTCATATAGTACGTTTTATTAAAGGTTCAATATCTTACATTAAGTCATTCGACAATAATAATCAATATAAATTTCAAACGTACTATACACACAATGGTCTAGTAATACTTTATATTTAAAAAGTACAGTATAATATACACCTGCATTAATATTATACTTCAGTTAAGCTTTAATCGAGAAATATAGATGGAATGATAATACATAATAGAATGATAATTTTTTGATAAAATACAATTTAATATTGGACTGAAACAACATTTTAGGGTTTATTTAGTTTTAATTCTTATTTTGTTTTTAAAAAATATAGATTTTACAATTATATTTCTAATTGAAATTATTTTAATATAATTATTTTAATTTTATGATAGAATGTGTAAATATTCGTTCATAAATGATAAATCACTTAGCAACACTTTAAAATTGAATATAGAAATACCATAAAAGAATACAATATTCATTAAAGTTTCAGAATAATCAGTTCTTCCTATACATAAACATTTATATAAACGCTATATATTTCATAATATTTGAAAGTATATAATGAAAATAGTATTTAAAGAATTTTAGATATATTTACTTACTAAAAACAAGTCACTTAATTTTTTTATGATTAATTTTCTTACATATATTTTTTACTCACTTTTTTTTACTTACTAAATTAAAAACTAATTAAAAATTAAAAGTTAAAATCTGCTCACAACTTATACAGATAATATCAAATTAACTATATATTTGATAATAAGCAAATAATAAATTTTAATAAATAGAAGTAATAGGTTTTTTTCACAAAGATTTAAATAAAATGGTACAACAGTGCGTATGTGTAACATAATTTCTGTGCACATTGTTTCTACAATTCAAACATTTTAAAAACAAATTTTATAATCTAAAAAAAATAAATATTAAATTAAAAATTTTTAATTTGTAAGTTCATACATTTTTATCTGAAAGTATTAGTTTCGAATTTAAATTTTACTATAGAAAAGTCCATAAATTTCATCATGTGAAAAACAAAATATTGTTTCTGCACTCCAGCACAAAAAAAAATTGAAAGATTGCCAAATTTAATTTTATTTTTATTGAAACCAATTTTGCGAAAATACATATTTTCAAAATGTATATATCTGTATACATAATATACATATATATATTAATAAATATATGTAAAATATTTTTAAACAAAAATAAAATGTTTATGGCGAAGCCACAGGTTGGAAAATTTTTCGCTTTTATAAAAATAAACATCAATGTTTACTCTACCAACAATAAGTATTGATTGATTGATTGACTAACTGCAGCTAATCAGGTGAATTTAAAAATAAATAAAATATTCTATTTATATGTTTTTAAATAAAATAATAAAATTTAATTTTTATACACTTTCTATTTTTAAATAATCTTCACATGTGAAAATCAATAAAATACAGGTAACATTGAGAAGAGCGATAATGTCTTCAAGTGGATATTGGAACAAAAGTCAGACGAAAGTATTGAATTTATTGATCGGGAAACATTATTTGAATATATCGATTCCAAAGACTTTTTGGCTGTTATATTTTGTAAGTAAATTATAGATGTGAAAATGTACAAAACAAAATAATAATAATATCTAATTCCATATGTGTATTTATAGTAAAAAACAATTTTTTAATTTATTTTTTGCGTTGTAAAATCAATGTTTAAGTGCATATATAGTGAAATGAGTGTTAACATAGAAATTTAAAAAATTTATAGTAAAAATTTTTTTAATACTTATAGATTTAGTTATAGTCTAAGTATAAGCACTTTTAATCATTTAACAAGTCTTATAGATACTTCGTTAACTACACTTCAGAATGTGATTTACTCGTATTTACTAAAAACTGTGACTGCTTTCGTATTTAACTCTTTATATTAATAATTTCTGTACTTATGTTTCTGTTCTAATTTGTATTTAACAAAATATGTGTATTTCAATTAAAAAAACAATGAATTATTCACACAAAACTGAACAAGAATCAATTATATTGCAGACAAGGAAGATGATCCCGATTCTCCACGTATTTTGCGTCACATTGAACTCATCGATGATGAGGCCGCTGAATATGGCATACATATTGTGAAAATGCATGATAAGCTTATGGCGAAGAAATATGGATATCGTAATCCACCTGGCATAACTTATTTCCGTAAAGGCAAACATATCAATTATGATGGTGATATCGATGATGAAGAGGAAATCTTGGATTGGCTTACAAGTCCAGCGAATATGGAAATGACTGATCACATTGAACAAGTAAACCGAAAAATGTTTGAGAAAATACGTAAAACATCAGATTATTTAGCTGTTATATTTCGTAAGTATTTTTTTTAATTAAATTAAATATCAGTATAAATCCTTTCAATAAAAATATAGATAGTGAAGAATGCAAGCAATGTCCACGTGTACTTGCTGAGGTTGAACACATTGATGATGAAGCTGATAAGGCCGGTATTGATTTTGTTAAAATTGATGATAAACAAATGGCTAAAGAATTTGGTGTCTTCGCACTGCCTGCTATAGTATTCTTTAAACCTACGTCTAAGGAACCCGTTATATATGCCGGTACGTTAAAATATGCCTTTAAGACTTTCTAAATATATATTGATTTTAAATACTTCACTTTCTAAAGGTGACCTGTATGAAGAAGAACAAATACTTGCTTGGTTGCTCACACAAAAGGATCCAAGTGGAGATGTCATTGAAGATCTTGAAGGTGAAAAATTAGTCAAGCTTATTGAAGAGTCTGGTGCCATTGCAGTTTATTTCTGTAAGTATATATGATATAATCTAATCACGGAATAACTTGAATATTTTGCAATTGTTGTATAAAATATATAAGATATATTTTTTTGATTTATCGTAAAATATCTTTTTACGATAAAGATAAAGTATCTTTTCAAAATAAAAGAAAAGAGCAGGATATCGAGAAAATAAACTTAAGACCTTTAAAATATAGAAAAAAAGTTTTGAAATAAACGGAATAGATCGACTAAATTCAACAAAAATGAGATATATGTACTTAAATAACTCTTCATATAGTAGCTTAATAGACAATAGTTTATAATAAATTAGTTTAGTAAAAAACAGAAAAGGTTAAACTGAAAAACTTTCATTCTTTGCAGACTATATTTTTTAAAGTTGGAGTTATTGCCTCTGCGCATATTCCTTATCAATCCCATTTCTAATGAGTAAAAATTTTTTTTCCTCTGGTATTATTTTATTATTTATTATATATTTCTTGAATTAAATCCAGGAAATAAATGTTTTAAATTAAAATTTTTCGTATATATATTTTAATTAACCATATTATAGGTGTTTATCTTTTTAAACTCATCTCCGATTTAGCTGAAATCTTTTTTATAAGCTTCTTTCATAAAATAAGAAGACACATATTTTGGGAAAATTTTTGAAATTTTTTTCCTAGGAGATGTGGACCTATGGGGTTTTACAATTACCATCGAACAGCTGTATCTCAGGTTCCATATATGATAAAAACTTGAAATTTGTTGAGTTTTAAATATAATTAATCAAAATTTTAAAAAACAATTAAGATTGTTTTATTTAAATACTTATATTAACCGTTAAAATTAAAACAAAATTAAACAAACTTTCTTTAAAAGCCAAACAATATAAAATAGAGAAATATTATTTATTGAATAGTTAAAATTTTATCAAATTACTTTTTATCGTTAGAAGGCTTTTCTTGTATAATTCAAATAGTATAATTTTGCAAATTACTTCGATTTTATTATATATATATACACTTAGAATATTAATTCTTCATTAGTATATTTTTTGTATGGATTCTGTATGAGTAAGAACACTTTTTACCACACATTTATTAAGTTAATTGTGATAGTGTGAACGGATTGTTAATTTTTAAAAGTAAAAAATATTGTTTAAAAATATATATTTTATTTATTGAAGTCTCCTTACTTTAAACATTTCTTAAATATCTGAATCTAAGTCTACGTAACTTTGTTGAGTATTCTTAATCTTTTCGTAAGTTACATTAATTTCCTAAATATATTTAATTTTGTTTTTTTTTATCTTGAAAAAGTTATCAATAAATACTGATACTATAGTTTAAAACGTTTTCTATTTTTGCTTTTACTAAGAGATTACTTTAATACTTTTTAATAAAGAAGAACAATACCGAAAATCTTTAATATAAATACTTACAGGTTGCTCCTCGTCCCTAATAAGTGATAATTCTATCCCCAAAGTAAATACATATTAATTTTCTCTCTCAATAGCTTATTATTTATTACGAGTTCAACAATTTTGAGAACAAAAAGTTAGAAATCTTGTAATATGTTAATGTTTTAATTCTACCACTTCTTCACCTTTTTTCCAAACTTTTGATGTCAGTTTAAAAAAGAAATGCCGACATATCAATCTTCTGAGCTCTTGAAAGCATTTCTAATACTTTCCAACACTGATATATTGATATAATTAAAAATGCCATATTAAATTGAAATCAGTTCTAACATCTATTGTTTAAAACTTCAATATATAGATCTATAAACGTATTCTATATATATCCTTTATATACGTTAAGACACAATAAAGATATGGAATATTGCTCAGACTCATAGTAATTACAATAAGTGTACATTTAATTATAAATATTTGAATTGTAATTAACAATTTTATTAATTCAATTAAATGTTTTGTATATATTACACTTTTAAAAGAAATTAATCTTTATAAAAATATATTTAAATGTGACTAACTAAATAACTTAAATTTTATTTATTTAAACAATTATATATATTCTCAACATCTATAAATATGATTTATTGTACATTCTGAAACACAATCTGTCATCGAAAATGGTTGGTTCATAATTCGTAAATAGGGAACAAGACACAATGTGACATATGCAGTTCTAAGGCAGCCAGAAAGGCACGTCTCAAGAAGGAAAAAGAGCAACAACAACAAGCCGGAGGTGCAGGTGCTGCAGCTGCCGCATTCGGAGGAGAAACAGAACAAACAGCCGAAGCAGCGGGTACTTCTGCAACTGTAGAACCAATCGCAAGCAAACATGAAGAGGGTAGAAATAAGTTTAATAAAATAAAACGAAAATCAGAAATTTAAATAAAAACTGATTTTGAGAAAGAGATTATCAAACTATAATTACATTAAGTATACTAGTGAAATGTTGTGTTATTGTGCATTACCACCAACAAAAGAACCATTCCAATATCATCATATTTGCTCCCTAAGCGGTTGGGTATTCACTGTGTTTCCTCATATTGATGTAGTGCTCGTACATATTGAATGTACCTATAATTGCTTTCGTATACATACCCTTTGCCTTATCTTGATATCTATACCAATTCCTACTGCCCCCTATACTATATTAATTCATATTCCCGCATATGTATTATACTACTTAGTACCACTTTTTTATATCCTTTCCTACAATTTCAATGTTTATTACTATCTCCCTCTATTTACTCAACATTCTTTATTGTAGCAAACTGCCTAGTGAATGCTCTTTGTACGTAGTGACTACCTCTTTTCTATATATTGTACATAAAATTTTCCCAAAAAAGTTTATCATATCCATAAATTATTTAATAAATAAAATATTATTTTACAAACTTATCATTTTTAATTACTTTAATTACAAAATAGACACTGATGGTTGTGAGCAATGTACTAAAGTACTAGAGGAACTGGAGAACATTGACGATGATTGCGATAAACATGGTATTACTTTTGTAAAGACCCGGGACTTTTCTGTCGCTGATGGGTATGGCGTGCATGACTATCCAGCACTTGTTTATTTCGAAGGTGGAATACCAAATGTATTTGAAGGTAATATTTTTTAATTATATATATCTACATATATTATATTTATAGAGAGGTTTCATAAAGTAGTGAACTACAACAACAACAAAAAGCTTTTTATATTATTTTAATTGAATTTTTAACTGACCATACAGTTCTTTTGTATATTGCCTAATACTCATCGTCAATGGTGTTAGAATTATTTCTTATATTTAATTATTCGTAAATAATAAACATTAATGAATATAACATCATGTTTTTATTAAACAGGGGAACTAAACGAGGAGGAAGAAGTACTTCAGTGGCTCATAACTCAAAAAACGGAGGATCGCATTGAATTGATAACACGTCAAATGCTGGAAACAATGGTCGAAGAGACTCAATATTTAGCAGTATACTTCTGTAAGTAAATAACGATAATTTTTTTTTGTTTTATTAGTTTTAAATAAATATTTATTTTGTTTTTTAAATATTTTAAAAATATTTTTACATTTATTCTAAACCCACACTATATGAATTCAACATACATTGCACCGCCTACAAAACAAATTTCCACAAAACCTTTAAAATAAACAATATATAAACATTCACACACATAAATATATATGTATGTATATATATTTAACCTATACCAACATCCTCAGTACCTCCTGAGCGTAATGGGAAACCACCCGCTTATTGTCGAAGCTTCTGTTCGCCTTTGTCCCTTAAAGAAGACAACATTTTGAACTCCACTACACACACTTCCAAACAATTCGTTAAGAATTACATATCACGCAAAAGAAAACGTATTGAAAATCAAGGTATTCATAAATCATCTGAACTCGCCTATGCTTAGTCAACAAATTCTAAAAACTTACGCAAACTTTGTTTAATAATTTTTGTTGTATTAAGCTTTACAAATTAATTTAAAAACTGTTACCTTTTAAACAATAATTAATTTTAATTTTTTTTTTCGCTGTGTTAATAAACAGAGTTGTATTTTTAGTATTAGTATTATATCGTTTGCATTTTGTGCTCTCACCTTTAACTTTTGTTCATGCGAATAATAATCGCAAATCCGGATATTCGCAGACTCCGGATTTAATAAAAATTCAATTTTTTAACTCTGGAGACTTCGTTACTATCCAATTATTCGAATAACTTCGAATTTTAAAATATCCGAATAGTATGATAGTCAGCACAGTAGTGCTGACTGTGCATTACTATGTGTAGTTCATTTAATAGCTCTGCAAAATAATAATTTGGAATGTTTTTTCATTTATCTTTCGTAATCTCATTTATCTTTAATTACATATTGAGGTTTTACGAATTTAAAAAATAATCTGCCATTTATTAGTTAAATTAACTGTTTCGAAAACAAAAGGTAACAGTTTTAGCGTTGTCTATTTCTTTATTTAATAATTCTATGATACTAAAATATTTAATATTAAATTTATTATGTCGTGTCCAAACTAAATGCCAGATTTATGTTCATAAGAAAAGCCTTCTTTAACTCAGTTAGTAGAGTAGGAGTAGAGTAGATTATGGAACAAATGCGAAAATCCATAAATATGTTTATAAAAGGATTAAAATAAAATTACATACTTTTTTCTACATGTGGCTCTACTCCTGCTGGTTTCGCTAGCCATTATTATAAAATATGTAATAATTCGTAATACTCGTAAATTTCTTTTTCGTAATATGTGTAAAGTTTATCGGGTTTCAGGTTGTAATAAATTATTTTATATAAAAAGAAGTATTTTTAGTAATATTTTTTTTACTTGTCATATATTTATTAAAATTAATTTTTAGGTGAATATTTTTCGCTCCTACAATTATGCAATTCAAATTATTGTATTTATACACGTCCCTATATGCATACACGCAGTAAATAAGCGATTATTTGCCGGAAAATGAGAAAACTATTTTTATAACAGATAAATCAAAATGGTTCATTTAGAATGTAAATAAATATGAAAAATTAACATTTAAATTGTATTTTGTTAAAAAAATAAAATTTATAATATTTTAAATTAGGTTAGTTCATTTAAATAATAAATATTTACTTTAATTTAAAATATTCCGTTTTATGTAAAATAGTTTCACAGTAAATAAATCTAAACCTGTGCATTTAGTTTGGATATGAATACCTTAATTTTTTACGTTTTCTGCTGTCTTTTTTTAATATACTAAATTTAACATAAGCATTTATAACAGTTTGTCTTTATTATTAGATAGTTCACAAAGTAATCGTATCATAATATCATCACAAATCGTGTCTCTGATATTTATAAAGACACAGTTTAATGCATTCGAAGTAACAAAAACATTTGTTCAAGTGTTTTCGAAATACAACAACGATAGATACAACACTTTGTGAATGTCTAATATTTTTTTGAAATACAACAATAATAGATACAACACTTTGTGAATGTCCTTAATATTTTTTTTAACCAAAAATCTTGCTCACTTCAAAATTTAGAACACAATTACAATCATGTGCTCATACCAATATTTTTTTTGTATATACTATGTATTTATGTTTTTATTGGCTTAATAAATACTTACTGTATTCATATTTTTTATTAATCTAAACTTTTATTTGCTGTATTTAATAAATATGTATATGTATAGATAAAATTAATTGTAATATATGCGATCAAATTCTGGAGGGCTTAGAACTAATTGATGACGAATGTGATGTTTTTGGTATTCATATGGTTAAAATTCAAGATCCACAATTGGCGAAAAGATATTCAATAAAAACATTCCCAGCTTTAGTTTACTTCCGGTTAGTTATAGTAATGAATTTATTATATTACACTATATTATATTATTATTTTATTTTAGAAACGGCAATCCATTACTTTTTGAGGGTGATTTACAGAACGAACAATCCGTATTGGAATGGCTAATTGATGATGATAATCGAGAACTAGCTGATGAAATTGAAGAAGTGAATGAAAGGATGTTGGAACGTTTAATGGCTGAGTCAACACTGTTGGTAGTGTTCTTTTGTAAGTTGTTGTATATAATTCTATGTAAACAAATAAATAATAAAAACAAGTCTAAATTATTTTTCTATTAACGTTCTATAAACATTGTGTCATTTATCTCTATTGATATCTCTATTTATTTCATTAGAACATAAAGTTTAAACGAAATTTTTAATCATATTTTGTTTCCAATCTGAACTTCACAGATGACGAAGATTGCGCCGAATGTGAGGAAATTCTAGAAGAGCTTGAAGAGATTGACGGTGAAGCAGACATGTTTGGTATTGACTTTGTAAAAATTGCCAGCACCGAAGCAGCTAAAAAATATGAAGTAGTAAATATACCATCCTTGGTTTACTTCAGGTACATTATTTAAATACAAATTAAGTTAAAAATTACAATTCTTAATCAATTTATTAGGAAACAAGTTCCTGTTTTATACGATGGCGATTTACATCAACATGACAAAATTATAACCTGGCTTACATCACAAGATGTTTTTGAGATTAAAAATGAAATCGAAGAAGTTAACCGTAAAATGCTTGACAAATTACTCGAAGAAAACGAATTTTTAGCAGTGTTCTTTTGTGAGTTTTATACATTTAAGTTTTATTTACATTAAAAAATATATATATCTTTCCAATAGATGAGCACAATCAACAAGACAGCACCGCAGCACTCGAGAAGCTCGAAAATATTGATAGCGAAACTGATAATTTGGATATAACATTTGTTAAAATGGCGGATTCCAGATATGCAAAGAAGTGGGGTGTAACTAAACTGCCAGCTATGGTTTACTTCAGAAGAAGATTCCCTAGCATTTACAGAGGTTAAAAATTTATTAATCTGTATATGAAAAATAGTCTTAATACAGTTTTTTCTATTTTTATTTGTATAGGTGATCTCCTATCAGAGGAAGAAGTTTTAGAATGGCTACGTAAAAATCGTTTCCGTCAGCCAGAGTTAAACATATTTATGTATGCTTTAATAGCTTTGGCTGTTGGATTTGTAGTATATACAGCTTTTCTGTTGCAATGTTTCAAACCAGCGCCACCTCCACCGCCACAACACCCAAAACAATCGTGATAAGCACGTTGATTGAAAGTTATTGATACAAACTACGAAGATGAATCAATATGTGAAACTACCAAAAAATTGATACTTAATTACGAAAATGCAATAAAATATAAGAGATTTACATATATTAAATATTAATTGAAATCATCCAATGAGCGAAATGCGTGAAATCGTCTAAATTAGACGTCATACTTTGAAGAATTTGCAGAATATTGAAAAACCCATAAAGACAATAGAAATGGGAAACAAAAAAAATACTACTACTATTACTATTCTTAACTCTACTGATACTTATCTGAAGAACTTATATATTTGTAATTCAAGGAAATTTTAATTACGGTCCTTACGATCATTATACACTTGCATGAACACAACATACTCGTACTATAACTTATAAATTGTAGAATTATAAATTTATTTAAATTTTTACTTAATTAAAATTTTGGATGATAAATAGTGTTTTATTAAATTCTTTTTTTTTTATCCTTAAACTTAAAATTAAAGTAAGCATCGAAGAATGGACTAGAGCTGAATTATATGTTACCGAAGATCTCAACACACCCATACTAGAATATATATCAATATATTCAATATATTATAATATATTTAAATTATAATATATTTTCTTTGATTGACGCACTAAAACACCATTCAAAATTTTTTTCAATTTTATAATCGCTTTTACAATCAGAGTACAATCAAGAAAACATTTTTATTAAAACCACAAATATAATTTTAATAACATGTTAATAGAACAAATACATATATTAATAGATATGATATTCAATCAAAGCAAAATTATTTAATTATCACTTATTCTTTTTATAAATTTTTTCAATTTAATTTATTAAAACCTTAAATGTATTGTGTAAGGCGATGGCAACCCTAATGATAACGAGAGTGTTATACGGCGTTTACATTGTGAGATTAAAAGTAGATTAAAGCAATCATCGAGATTAAAGTACTAATCTCGTTTAATGTCAGATTTCCCATACAAAAGTTGATCTCCTTTCGGTCAATATTATATATTAATCTCCTTAGAAATGGTGATTATTTTTCTGTACAACTCAGCAAATAGCTTAATACCGTAGATTTTTTACGATCTTAGAAGAATTGGAAGAGAAATGTCAAAATCTATTCAAAATAAACATTGAAAATTTGAAAATGCCGAAGTGAGTAAAATTTTAATTAATTTGTTTAATAATAGTTTTGTACGTAATTATAACTAGAATTTATTTAATTATTGTTATAAAAATATTTATTAAATTTACATTACAATTTTTTTGTAATTAAATGCTTTATTTACAAAAATTTATCAAACATAAGAAACAAAACACAATAAGAGAAACGTTAAAATGAATCTCCAATATATAATGTAAATAATGGAGATTAAAAAAAAAAAAAAAAATGGAGATTAAAAATGCAAATCTCTTAGTCTTACAATGCGTGGTATAACAGTTGTAGTTGTTTGATGACCTTGGGCATTAGTGTTTTATTATTTTACATACGATAAACATTTATGTTAAGATATACGGTTTAAATCAAATTTTTTATTTTTCAATTGCTTTTCATTTACAGTATCAAACAATATTTATATAAATTTCATTTAATATATAAGATCTCAGTTAATTAACATTAATTTAATATTTACATTCATTTCGTAATTATTCCTTCAACTTTTATTTAATTTTTTTATTTTTTTTTATTCTCTAATTTGAATTTGATATATTCATATTTGTTTTTATTATCATTTTAATCACGCAAAAATTTCAATTCACGATTTTAGAATATAAACAAATCAGAGCAAATATGAAGTTATTAATACTTACATTCAATTGATAATATTGTATACATAGACAAAAAATAACTTTTAGATGTATTTAATAATTAATTCTAATAAATATATTCGTAAGACTATAACAATAATAACGTAATATAATTATCGCTTACGATTTCAATGTAAACTTTTGCACTTTTCATTATAAATATTTTATTTTGTAATTCATTTTAACTTTCTAAACCATCTGGTAACGCCATTCAAAATAATGCACTTCTCAATTATCTGCTGACTTTGACAGCTCTTATCTGTTGCCATATGTTTTCGTGTTGTTGCTCTTCTCAGCACCAATAAAAATAAAAATATAGGAAATAAATATGAATGGAATAAAAACAAAACTGATAATAACTCAACAAGCAAATGTGAGTGCACAATACCAAATTGTAAAAGGCGCAGAAATTTTAGTTTGCTTCTGTATGTCGGTGTTCTTGTTGAGAATTTTTCTTTAATTTGCGCAGAGTAAAATTTTACATTATATAAATTTAGTGTTGAATTATTTGTTTCTAATAATAATATTTGTAAATAAAAAATCTATTTTTAGTATAAACAGAAAAATATCCGTTTTCTTTAATACAAATAGTGAAATTAAAATAAATTTTATGTTGCTTCAGCGTAAAAAATCAATTAAAGGTAGATAGAATTGTTGAAGCAAATTGCTTTAAGTAGAGAACTGATAAAAAACATAAATATTTGAAAAAACTGCATAATGGAATACAGAAATTTACAATACAATAAATAGACTTCCGTTTTCGATATCATAATAATTTTTTTTATTAAAGAAATAAAAAAAATCAATTTTTTGCTCCAATGATGTTTGCCTTGAACTTATATTAGCCAGCAAGTTAAAAAAGTTGCAAAACTATTATATGATCTTTGTCTCCCTTCTTGTTTGTCAACTTCTGCAACATGTTTATGTGGTATTTTAACAAAAACAAAAAAAATTATATATACAATAAAACCGTGCGACTAAACCGTATATAAATTTATATAAAAATAAATTGTAAATTTACTAGATTAAGTTTATACTTCTTTCTTCTGCAAATGAAGGTGAAAGTCGAATTTCAAAACAAAAGAAAAATGCCTACTTGCAAATATTTATGGTACAAATAGTGATACTTTGTTTTTGTACCCTACGATCAGCGACAAGTGAAATTTATATGAATTATATAGTATACTATATAGTATATACTATATAGGTCGTGTGCGAGTTCGAATAAATTGATGGTAAATTTAGGGAAATAGTAAATCATATCGGTATGGCAGCGAACGTTGGTATTTACCAGAATTTCGAGTAGGGTAAGTTAGATAAAAATTATGTAAATTAGGTTTTACCATTGTGAAAGTTTTATAAGATGTGTAATACATTTGAAAACTTTTTAAATAATAAATAAATAAATGTTTATATAAGTGCAGTGCAAAAAATCCCTAAGATATTTCAATTTATTTTAGCTCAATTTACTCGAACTCGTACATAGCCATAGTATATATAGTAATATAATTATTTAAGAGTATTAAAATATCACCATTTGTAATATAATTGATAAACATAATTTATTAAGAAAAATCAAATGCGTTTTATAAAAATAAATAAATTTTTAGATCATAAAAATTTTCTCTTTCATTGTTATAGTAAAAATGCAGCATTTTGTATTCATTTTAATTTTATCTCAGAATTTTAATACATTAATTAATGTAATAATATATCATATTAATTGAATTACGTAGTGCTAAAGAGAGTCAACGTTGCCGATATGACGCTTTTTTTTTTATAAACAAATAAGTTTCTTATCGTATTGTTTTCAATTTAGTAATGATTATTTAAAATGATTAATTGCTTTTTAAATGGAAATCTGTAAAAAAATAACAGTATAAAATAATACCGTTGCTCATTTTTTTAGTATTATAATAAATATGCATAAGTATAAAGTCATATTCCACCAAGAACATAGACCGTTAACATAAAATCTAAACTACCATATTTGCTAATTCTTGTTAGAGACTTAGATATTTTAATAATAAATTAACATTAAATAAAAAGTAGATTAAAATTAAAATATTTTTTAACAGATTCCCTATATATGGTTCGCTTCCAGATTGTTTTGGTCCGCAGAGTCGATTGCCTTCTTAATGATTCTATTCAGGAGTAGCCTATCATGTTAATGTTGTTGTAGTCTGTTAGTATGTGCTTGAGTAGTCCCTTTTGGAACTGCTGCAAGGCACTTGGTTGTCGAATTCGATGAGTGACTTCGGGACGTATACCCGGTGACTTTTGGAATCTATCATTTGTATTTAATCAAATTGCTTACTTAAAATTTAATTCAACCAATTAAATGATCGTTCTTTAATTTGAACGTTTGATCTCTTGAATATTAATATTAAATGTTACGTTACGAATAACGTAACAACTAATCAGTCAGCTTGCTTTATTTGCTTTATTCCAATAGTTTAAATAGTGTTTTCGCTAAATATTTTACTTTTCTATAAAACGTTATTCAATTCTCTTTAAAAAATTAAATTTGTTTTACAACAAAAACTGTAAATACACCAGATTTATCGCGTCAAAATAAAGTGTACAGTAATCAGTTTAATAAATAAATAGCTAAAACATCCACACTTTAATATTTTGTTTGCTTTCCGTTTGAATGAAGATCTACTTCTAGCCTCCTCAGCATTGATTCAGTTAATTTTGTTTTTATTTCCGATGAAATTTTCTGCCATTCATCCAACAATACCGAACACAGAGAGTCTATGCTAGTAACACCTCTTTTACGAATTTTCCTTCCAGATTTTCCCGTAAATGTTCAATCAGATTGAGGTCCGGTAATTCTGGGGGATGATTCAGTTGTTTTGGTGTATGGTACAGAAGCCATTCCTTAACAATTCTAGCGATATGTTTGGGGTGGTTATTTTGCTGGAAAATCCAGCACCAATCCAGTTTCAATTCTTCGACACTAGATTGTAAATTTTCTTTTATAATATTAAGTTAATCCATTTTGTTCATTCTATTGTCAATAAACACCAATTTACCTACTCCACTTGCCGCCATACACCCCCCATACAGTGCACCCCACCGTGTTTAACTGTATAGACTACATTTTTTTCTTAATAAAAATATAAATCAGGCTACCTGCCTGTTTTAAGATCATTTAAAAACTAATTATCAATTTATATGAAATTATTTCCAATTAATAGAATAAAGACCTAAATATAATAGGTATATCATTCCTTACTTTTATGTAATTAGTTAGGAAAATGAAAATTTGTATTACGAGTACAAGTTTTTTCCACAATGACATTCATGAATCCTCGGTAACTAAGATTCAAACTTCAAAAGCAATAAAATGGGACAGATTTTGTTGGAATATATCTATTCATATATCTATAAATTTGTTTGTTTAGTTTTTATAGTTTTTTGTTACTATTTTTTATTAGCTCCTCCTACTGCTTATATGTAGTACTTCAAACAATCTCAATTGCTATATAGAAAAAAAATTTCTCATTGATGGCATGAAATCTTCCCTGAAGTTACTAGAGTGACGACGTTAATTTAACCAATCAATTGAATTGAGCGTAAAATTGTGACCACAAACAATAATAAATTTCATGCATTCAATTAATTATAATATATTATTCACATAGCAACTATTTTGCAATTACAGTAATATAAAATTAAACGCTGTTTTACTTTTTCTATAAAAATTAATATAATTTTTTTACAATTTCACAGTCTAAATTGGCGCACCCTTAAATTCGCATGTAATAAATTTACTATGAAATTGGATGAAATTGTTGCATGGTAAGTTTGTAATTTAATAAATAAAGAATTCTTTATTAAATTGTTATATTTACTTTTATTTTAGGTATCAGAAAAAGATTGGCACTTATGATAAACAACAATGGGAAAACACGGTTGAACAAAGAATCCTCGATGGCTTCAGTAGTGTGACTTTAAAAACTGCTAAATTGAAAACAGAATTAATTGATGTGGACTTAGTGAGAGGTTTAATAATGTAATTCTTTAACTATATACGTATTTTATTAAAGCGATACTGTTTCTATTATAACAGGTTCAACATTTCCTAAAGCCAAACCAAAAGAAAGTTTTCTAACTGTGATACGTCTGGCGTTCTTACGTTATTTCTTTTTACCTTTATATGCGCAATGGTGGGTGAAACAGACATCTCCAAATATTTTTGGTGTATTACTAGTACTATATATAACACAAATGATAACATGGGCTGTATATGCCTTGAATATAAATCGTACAAATCAAGAAGGAGTTTCTGTAACTGGAATAGTATACAGCCTATCAGCAAAAAATTTGACCGTTTCTCAAAATGGAGAAGTACCTGAAAAGCAGTCGGAAGAGGTAAAGATATATATTTAATTTCCTTAAAGTTTTCTATTATAACAAAATATTTCTTCTTTTTTAAGCATATTGTTTCGTTGGCCGAACTGCTGATACCAATGACATTAAGTTTTCTTCTTAGTTTGGTACACTCACAGATTGTTGCAACCACCACGGCTACTAATAATAATAAAAATAAACGTAGACGATTTTCAAATTCTAATGTGAATGGTAAATTGTCACGGGATACAAGACTAAGACGACGAAAGAAATTAGTGAAGTAAGTTAATCCATAAACTCAAATAGGTTCTCACAGTTATCCTTTTACAACAATCACACCTACTGTATTTAGCTCATAAAGTTGTTGTAGTCACAAGAGTTCCTAGTTTATATGGAATGAAATGTTTTTTTGAAAGATGGAACAGTGACCACTCCTTCCTTATTTCCCCTCACCCTTACCTGCAACCATCACCCATCCAATCCAAACCCATGTATTGTATGTTATCTGCTTTTAGGTCGCAGTGGGTCACCACAGCAACAACATGGAACTGTGACATTAACCCCATGAAACTACTTTATTTCAGTGTTCTGAACTAATAAATAAAAAATTCTTCATATAATGTAACTAATATTTATTCGTTTTGAAACTCTTTGAATTCTTTCTCAAAACACTTGACTGTTATAAATAATTGTCATAAACAATTAAATCTTTCTTTAAAGTTTTATTATTCATATTTTATTAAAGTTTATTCAACTAACATTAAAAAACTTAATTCGCAAGATAAAAAAATCTCTAGATCACATTTTTTTTAGCATTGATAACGAAATTCTGTAAATTCATAAATATAATCGGATTATATACTATCAAGAGATATATATATATATATTTATGAATAATTACGCTGAATCAGTCATTTTTGTCTTAAACTACTTGTTTTTATTAAATAAATCTATTGTTTTTTTTTAGGAATTCCTTTGTTGAAGCTGCCTCACAACAACGTAAGCCATTAACCATTGCCAAAAAACCTCATTCAAGTGAAGAGATATCTGCGAAAATTCTATCAAATACTACCATAGATAAAACTGGTGATAGTAATTATGCAACTAAGATCTATAAAATTTCTAATTCTAGAACATATTACGGTTTTCCAACTTCTAAAGAAAATTTTAATAATTTAGCTGATATAAATTTAAATGCCACCGTTAATGCTTTTCCAACACTTAGACTTGATCTCAAAGGCATGGTTGATGACAAAAGTGCATCATGTAGCACAGACTGCTCATCGACTGATACTCAACTTAGTATTTCAAATAAAAAACGTAACGTAAATTGGCATAATCCTTTGGAGAACTTTAAAAAAGAAACACACGAAAAACAGCAGCAAACTTCACCACAAACTGGATCATCCACAACCACAAGTGAAACTAATTCACCAAACAATTGGGAAGCTAATATACCCATTAATAGTAGTTTACCTAATAGTTGTTGTATGCGGAAAAACAATAGTTCACCCAATAAAACTGTACGTATTGATGATAATGTCGAAATTATTGATGGATCTGTACATGAAGTAAGAGAAATAGCAGGGGAAGAAGTACGTAATGTCGAAGCTTTGGAGAACAATTCTAATATTAGACGAGCAATTGGCGAAGATGATGGTTTCGAAAGTTTAAATGGTAAAAGTTCGAGTGGTGAAGAAACAAATTCGCCACTACCATCCACTTCAAGTGCGTGTGTTCCAAATCTTCTGAGATTACGTGCTAGTACCGGAGATTTTTTAAAACAATTAGATGCTCAAGTATAATTTAAAATATTTTTGTCAATTTGTGAACTAAACTATTTTATTTTTTTAGCCAAAGAAAACCTTGCCTTATCCCATAAAATCACACATAATGTCTGGTGTAGATTTAGCAAAAAGAATATCGTCAGTAATTAATGAAGAACCAATAAAATTTTCAAATTTAAAATTCAATCGACGAACAGATGAGAGCAGTTGTGATACAGATGAAGAAGGAGATGATGGTGAAACTATTTCGAGTCCCAACTCACTGTGCAATAACTCTAATTACAATGAATGCACTACATCGGCTACTGAATGGTTGGGTGTTACTACAAACAGTAAATATTATTTTAGGCTATTTTAGCTATTATGTAGATATACTCGTATTATAAACATATATTTTTTGTCTGTTTTTAGGTGAAGATTGTAGTTATAGTTCAGATATAAATAACTTAGATGATTATAAAAACCAACAAATTTCTGATGATAATGGCTACGATGCCGATTTTACACCAACAACTATATTAAATCCACATAGCACCACCGATAGAAGTAAATACAAAATAATATTAGCCGTAATTTTTTCTTTCAGAGTAGCAAAAAAATACTCGTAACTTACGGAAGAAAACATGTGAAGCAACAACAATACTCTTAAAATCTTCAGAGTTAGGTTTTACTCGCAAAAATTTTTACGTCTTAAGTTTTAGTGCAACCAAATTCAAAAATCAGTGTATTGTGAATTTTTACTGGAAATATGTTGCAAAATGCCAGTCATCCGTTAAAATCATATGAGCATTATAATATAAATAAATTATAAATATATAAATAAACTAATTAATTTAAGTATAGAAGTTAAAAATGCTTATCATTGGTCTTGTAATATTCATTTTGTTTTCTTTTATTTAAATCAATTAATTGTTTGTTTTAAAAGTGATGCCAATTTGCTTCAACCAGACGTAATGTTTTTTTTTCAACTCTGAAAGAAAAAATTACGGCTATTATTAAATCTATTTTATTTTATTTATTTTATAATATATCTGTGTTTAAATTTTTATAGTTAGTTGTACTGTTTGGGATCAGCGAGAGATTAAGAAAGCTCAAATGTCTGTACTTGAAATTTCGTCCTGCATTATAGCACGTGTAGAATCTATGCCTGAAACGAATGATTACATATATATCGGCATATTTTTTTCATTTATTTTATCTTTAATACCAATATTTTGCCGTTTGTGTGAGGTGAGTTATATTTTATAGAACAGAAATTAAATAAAATTCATATCTATTTTTAACTTATAGATCGGTATAAACTCGGAGGAAACAACTGAAATCAATTATTTAGATATTCCTATACTGTTATGGGAAAAGTCCTCGTCTTCAATTTATACCATTCTGCTCTTCGCATTTGGGCAAACAAATTGGGAACGAACTATACTGGTTATAGCGTTCATACAGCGTTTAATTTTGTCTATGGTTCTGTTTATAATCTTTTCCGTTGCAGAGAGAACTTTTAAACAAAGGTTTGTTGTAAAGTGTGTATAGTATTTTAAAATTTTCTTTAAATAACAATTTATCTCAGGTTTCTGTATGCAAAACTGTTTTCACATATAACATCTTCCCGGCGTGCTCGGAAATCGAACATACCACATTTTCGTTTAAATAAAGTACGCAATATTAAAACTTGGCTGAGTGTGCGCTCATATCTGAAGGTATATAGAATCTAGAATCTTCTTATCTTTAAATACTAAGTACACTTTAAACTCAATTTTGTAGAAACGTGGACCACAACGTTCAATTGACATTATCGTATCAGCAGCCTTTTTGGTTACGCTGTTACTATTATCTTTCCTAAGCGTTGAGTGGTTGAAGGATTCCGTGCACCTACATTCGCATTTAAATTTGGAAGCACTACTTTGGTCAGTTACTATTGGTGTATTTTTATTAAGATTCATGACACTTGGAAATAAAATTCATGATAAATATCGCAGTGTTTCTGTTTTAATCACAGAGCAAATTAATTTATATCTACAGGTAAGCAAATTCTTATTCCTAAATAAAACTTTTGTAACAGAAATATACTCTATTTTTATTTATTCCAGATCGAACAAAAACCTAAAAAGAAAGATGAACTCATGGTCTCTAATAGCGTCTTAAAGCTGGCTGCTGATCTCTTAAAAGAACTTGAAACACCATTCAAAATTTCAGGTTTAAGCGCAAATCCCTATTTATTCACCACAATAAAAGTAGTCATATTGTCTGCACTTTCGGGTGTGTTAAGTGAAATGTTAGGCTTTAAATTGAAATTACACAAAATCAAAATCAAATAAATATATTTTAAGTACAAAATATATATTTTTATTATACATTAATATTTCAAGAGAACAAATTCGTTTTATATATTATTATTATACACAGATCGTTCTCTTTAGCAAATAAAAGTTTAACTATAAAACAAAAATAAAAACAATCAGAAAATTGTGTTAATGTGATGACTTCATTAGTGAGTAAGAAAATTAATTATTATATATATATATAGGTATAAAGTTTAACGTTAGAAAAAAAATTTATATTAATTAAATTTTTTTATATTTGTATTTATTTGTAGAACAAGTGTTTTGTAGAAATATATATATAATACAATAAATTGTGCACAAAAATTATTAACTACTTTTGTAAAGCAAATTTATTGAAAATTTAATCTGCATCTTTTGCATACGATAAAAGCTTATTTGTTATAAGATTTACTACTATTTTTATATACTACTATGTCAAGAGAGTACCGGGAATCAGTCAATGAAATACAAAATATATACTACTTATAAAAATTTATTATATCCCTTTCAAAGTAGTTTCCTTTTAAAATAATGCACTTACGACAAAGAATAAACCAATCAAAACATCAAATGCTTTTTTTTGGATTTACTTCAGTACTCGCCGCGAATTTTCTTTTATATCATCTATCAACCGAAAACAGTAAATTGAAGTGCTATTTCAAGTTTTGGAAAAAGAAAAAAGTCAACCAAACCATCTTGGGGGAATACGTTGGGTAGTTAAAAAGATTTATTGTGTTTTTGGCCAGAAATTTCTTCACAATGATAACCTAACGAGATGGTGCATTAGCGTAGTGGAAAATCCACAACTTTTCCTTCCATAAATTTGGGATTTTCTGAAGGAGAATGCTCAAATGTCCTTAGTTACTGTCTCACCTTCTAAGAAAAAATCATCGAGTCTTTGCAAAAAAAATGTTCTTTCAGTACTAGATGATCGACAACATGTTTCATACCCAAACAATCATTTCAAATGGATCGAATTGATTCGTGAAATACATAAATTTCAGTAACCGCCTTCTTTATACTTAAACAAGAATCGTCAGACACCATATCCTTTATTCCAGCAATTTTAGGTTCACATGACGACGTTGATAGACAACCCTTTTAAGCGAGATTTTTAAATGATCGATTCCCAATACTTTTTTGACAAAATTTGTAAAAAATAAAATAAATATGCACCGTTTTGAAAAAATTATAATAACAACCGTAATTGTTTGCGCAATGCTATAAACTTTAATAAGTACCAGTGTTATCTATAATTAAAATAAATATTTTTAAATAAACTAAATATACACCAACTTTCACCTTTTTTCATTTTTAAAAGTTTGTACAATTTAAATTTCGAATTTAATTTAAGATCTAATTTTTTATTATGGTTTATATTCAAACACTCACACTCCATCTCGATTAATTATTTAATTAAATTTCCTTTCCCTTGTTTAAGATATTTGCATCTCGTTCAAAAATATAAAATATTTGCTTCTTGTTCTTTATACGATTGTGATGCTGTTAGGCAGCACTTTTGTTTGTTTTTAGTAATGTTTCTATGAAATTATTCTTGTATTTATCTTTAATATGTCTTGCTTATTTTTAGTACCATTAGCTAGCACTTCAAACCTGAATTTCTACTCTGTAATTGAAACAAATGCAATTTAGTAGTGCATATGAGCTACTAAACACTATCAATGTATGGCTTAATTATTTCAGTAAATTATTGTGAGAATTCTTATTTTTATTAGTTTACAATTTTTTATCCCAAAATGTACTGTACAAAAAAGTAGTATAGAATAATCAAAAATAAGGTTCTATATGTACAGTAATTTATTAAAATAAAACATTTCTTTATATACTTTATCTTAATTTTAAGAGACTTAATAATTATTAATTATTTTATTTTTGATTGTAATTTATAATTTTTGATTATAATTTAGCTTGTAAATTTATAATAATTATTTATATATTATATAGAGCTATTATTCTATATAAGTAATTTTTGTACGTTACAGCATAAAATGGACTCCACGCTTTTAAAATAAAAATAATGGTCACCTTAACTCATACATTTTTTTATTGGTTTCGCTATTTCTCTCCATATTAAATATTCTCATTGCATTTACACAAAAACAAAACAAATAACTACACGTGCTGAAATTTACAGTGAGAACTCGATAAAGTTTTCCAATAATGTATATGGATTCCTATTGCTAATAAAAATTATTATCTATTAATATTATAGAGAATTAACTAAAAATTATACATATTCATGTATTAAAAATTGAAGAATTAGAAGTGAATAAACGTGAATTAAATAAATTTTACTTTAAGATAAACAATAAAAATTGTCTTAAGTTTAATACTAATTATATATATGTACGTTGCCATGATCTTATTAAAACTCAATATCGTATAGAAATGGTAAATGGTTCACATTTGCAACTAAATAGTTACATGAACATTAACTTTAAATTTGTAATTAAGTAGTTATGAATATTATTAGCCTTTTATTTGATACGGAAAATTAAAAATATTTCAGATATTAGCTTTCGATTTGGTTTTGTTGCTTGAAACTTCCCTTTTACCTTCATAAGTATTACAATTTTGGCTTATATAAATTTTTAATATAAACGTTTAGCCTTCTAATAATCGTAAATCTCTCTTTCACTAGATTATTGAAAAAGGTTTCGTATTTAAGTTGCAGAACATGAAATCTTTAAATTCTTGCTTTTTTTAGGTCATGGTTTCGAAGTGCAATACTTGTTTTAATCACAGGTGTGTCTGATATCCTCCTTTTTTCGCATTATTATTATTATTGTTACCATTATTATCATTAATTGAGGAATACTATACGCCGCAACTAAGTAAATACAACTGAGCAATAAAATAACGCTCAGCATCGCACGATCGTTAAAATGTTTGCCCTTTCCATTACTAGGGTTTTTTATTATTAGTTTTGTTCTCTTTTTAAAATAATTGCTGATATCAGCATATAGCACCTAGGCGTCTTACCAAAATCTAGTAATCGAATGTATTAATATTTTGTACATCTTTATTTTTATTACTCGAAAAGTTCGATATTGGAATGCCAAAATATTATTACGAAATATATATTATTCTGCTCTTACATTAAAAAAATAATATATTAAAAATATTCAATATAGCTATTTCGTTTTATATTTGTCATACATACACTCGCCAAATAATATATATGATACCATTTTTATTATATTATATTATTTTTATTATATTTCTTTATTTAACATATATTAACAAATTATATATGAATAAAGATGGAACAAAAAAAAAAAAATAATAATCAATATATATCTTAACAAAATGATTAGTTTTAAAGCAGTATCCTGTAGTTCTATAGTAGTACATTGATTTTTCTTTATTCAAAAGCCTTAGTGGTAAAATCATATAGATATTAAAAAATTAAATATTAATAAAAATATGGAATACACAAAAAAAAAGATAATAATTAATACATGGAATACCAATATTATTCGTTTTAAAATAGTATCTTCATTTTATATATTATTAATTCCTTTCAACATTATTGTAAATATTTATCCGTAATGATTTCAAATATATATTATAATATTTCAAAATTAGTCTTAAGTTACGTTTTTTCTAAAAAAATATTAAATTCTTAACACTTTTATTATAAAATGATATAAAATCATATACTGCCTTAAAGATGCATATGGAAATATAAAAAAATATTAATATTAATGAATAAATACTGTTTTTTAAAATTTAATTTCTATTTTTTTCAATGGTTTCTTTACAATTAAAATTCATAAAAAACATAAAATTTCAATATATCAGTTTTTAAATAGTCAATGTTTATATGTTAACATTACTTTCGTATAATATTGAATCTAAATTTATAGTTTACAATATATTTGTGAAATAATTATATTCAGTACATAAATTGAACTTATAAAATAATGAGTAATTATAGCTAAATTCCAAATTACCGCACAAATTTTGACAGTTCTCTAAAAAAACGTAATGTTTGGCAACCCTCAGTTTATTTTCAAATGAGACAAAATTTCATTTATTTATATTCTTCTGCTCATTCTGTTTGTTTGCTTCGATTGGTGAAGTCAGTCAAGTATATTTAGTGTAATCGTGGAGCATAATAAGAAGTGGAAGCATAAGAACGACGGAAAAACAAAGAAGATAATATAAAAAAATTTGGTTCATTAAAAACAAACCAAAAAAAATGTGTTAATAAAAATGTTAAAGTGAGATAACTCATAAGTTTATTTAAATAAGTCTTTCTGATTAAATAAATTGAGAAATTGAAGTGCGGAATACGTGCGGTGTACATCTTATTCTTCCATATAAAGAATTTTTAATCTGTGTATTTACGTCGATTGTTGTTCTCCGTCCTTAACTTATATGAAGATTGAAGGTAGTGGACGACGTGCCGTTAAGCAAAATTCCTTATAGATTTATAAAATGCAACAATTTTAATATAGCGACAATATTTAATAAATGAACTTTTAGAAGCGCATCAGTGAAATATACAGGAACAAAATGTTGGAACCACCGAAATTTATTGATAATGATAATTACGATGGAAGTCGCTACTTCACTTGGCTGGCTGATCTATGTGGGCTGTCAGTTGATTTGGTGAGTTATTCTTATTTAAAAAATAAATTATCAAGAATGGAATACTATATAAATATTTATATTAAAAGAAGCTTGCTGAAATGTGTGTCCTTTAAAGGGCATATTTTACAGGTTAGGTTAGGTTCGGTTCAAGTGTTTATGCTGTTGTATTTGTAGTGTTCGGCAGGATGTACTTACCAAACGCTGCAAATGCCAACAGAGATTTATATTACCTGTGGCTTGGTTCGGTTTGGTAGTGAACTAAAAATTGCATTTAATAATTGTGAAGTATTAACATTTATTCTTAAAAATACTGAAATTCTAAAAAATTTGTACAAAACCAATTTGTACTTCTCACAAATGTACAAAAATATATCTATAAAATTGCTATTGGGATACACTTTTTTCAAAACTAGTGCACCATCAGCCTTAAAACTCATTTGGTCGGCTTTGTCATTGGATAATCAATTAATTTATGAGATTTATGAGATAAAATATATTAGTGACTTATATGCCTATAGTTAGTTCCAAGATTTTAGTATTAAAAATTTTTAATAGAAGTATTTAAATAATATTTACATCAGAATATTCACATACTAAAATCAAAGTATGGCATAAAAATATAATATATATTCCATTTCATTTAATGTAAATATATATTTAATGTAATTAGATATTTAACTTAATATACATATTATAAAAAAAATTATTTGAAATTGAAATGCTTAATTCATAATAAAAACTTAAGTTTATATTCAAAGAATTAAAAGCCACAATGCTTTAGTCAAATATTAAAAAAAATAAACAAACTTCTATATATCAATTTTCCATGAAAATGAAACAATTTATCGACTGCTAAACTGCACAATTTCCGCGAATAATTTAATAAAAATTTAATTCATAAATTTCAATATACCACATTAATTTAGTTCAGTTTATTATGGCGCTACCTAAAGACCTTTTACTTCCCATAAACCTATTTTGTTGCCACATACATCTTGGAGGGTTTAAAATAATTTCAAAACTATAATGAAGCTTAAGATGGTCTTAAGATGGCATTATAATTTTGAATTCACAAATGAATTTTCATAAATTGGGTTAACTTCCAAGAATTTATTTTTAAATTGAAGCGCAATATAAAACGAGTATAATAAGATTTTTTTCCAACAATTGTTTTAAAAATGTTTAAACTAGTTTATCAATATTACTGCAATTTTTTTGTTTTCGTTTATTTTAATGTGAACTTTCCTCAAATTTTACGATTTATCAGATATATATAACAGAAGAATAACACTAAAACTCAAAAAACCTTAAGCTTATGTGTAGTTCTTTATAAGAAACATACCAAGATTTGTTTGCAGTGTGCTGGTTCCATGCCATATTTAATTGAGCATATACCTTATTGATTTTAAAATGACTTTATAAAATCCAACTTTATATATCAGGTTATATCAGGCTTATGAAATTTTTGCGAGAAGCCAGTATATTCCCTTTACTTTAGATGTGTTCCTTTTCTTTGGAACACTTCTTTCTAAAACCGTTGATAATTGTCATTATATTCAGATCTTAGTGAATGTATTTGTTGGTTATAAACAATTTCCTAAATTTAACAAAGAGTGATTTGTAGAGAAGAGAGCGGAACTGCATACCATGTGCTTGGGGAGTGCCCTGCACTGATGCACAAGCGAAAGAAACACCTGGAAGGGTATTTAATGGATCATAATGATTCAAGACTGTATACTGTCTTTCATTAAAGAAATTGGACTTGGAGAAATACTCTAATCAGACTAAGTGGCACAATAGATCTTTTAGGTCGCAGTGCACTACCCCTTTTCAAATAATAACAAAGAGTAGTATCAATCTATTATGCGTGTTAGGTGTATTTAATATTAAATTAGGTGTCCTCAGTAGAGACTTCTGTTTATGCTGTTGAGATAAGAGCTTAAACTTTTATTTTACTACTTGGTAATAGAAGATTTATATGATAATATTGTATTTGACCAGTTAAAGAGGTAAATCGTAAGGTGATTTCTACTTTAAGATATTGGCAGAACTGGGAACAGTAGACTATATAAAATTTATAATCATAGTCACTGGAATCAGTTGAGTTACAAGAAGTGTTTGAAAACTATAAATCCACCAAAAGCATTCAAACTTTAATATATATATCTATATTTGAATACCATAAATTCTCAATATAATCCATTAAAAATCCATACATTTTTTCCATTTTTTTAAAATCCATTGTTAATGTCAGAGCTGATATTTATTGTATATTATACGAGTAAAACGAAATAAAATTTAATAAAAATTTTTCCTTAAAAACAATGCCCTTTCGCTATCTTGTTTTTATACAAGTTTATTGTTCTACGCAATTATTTCTGTTGATATTATTCAGAATGCGTAAACTTAAATAAAAAGCTTGTTTACTTTTGCAATTTTATTTTTTTTTTTTTACTTTATTTCAGAGGTCTATCATGACCGATATGTTATCACCGGTGGTAATTGCTTGAAGTCGACGCATTTGTTGATTCTATGTACATATGTATTTATATGTAGGACGTACTACATATATGTTATATATATGCATGTACAAAGTTATTTAGAACGTTTTTTGTATTTTAAATTCATTCACTAAAGAGGTTAACTAGTTCCTCTTAAGTTCAAGTTTTATTAGAAATAAATAACCTAATTTAAAATAGAAATTAAAACCTATTTATTTGCTATCAAAAGTATATATTATTTTAATTAATTAATTTAATTTATTTATTTAGTCATAGTTTATTAAAAAAAGTGATATTATTTATTTTACAATAATTATAAAAATCTTTTTCATTAAAAATGTTTCAGTTCCAATTTTCATTTATTTGTACCTATTAGCTGAGACACTTTAATATCATATATGAGTTGATGATAATGAAAAATGTTGGGTCTAAATATTTTTTATTTTAACTAAGTATAAATGCATAAATTGTTTTAAGAGCTAAATGAATCATCAACACAATTCTTTTGCTGCTATATTACTTTTTCGGTTAAAAATTAAGTATTTCTAAAGCTAGTTACTATATAATTCTTAATGTAATAGAACAGATCTCTCTAACAGTGTTTTCTATTATGTTAAAGAAACACGATTGAACAGTTTCATATCTGTAGTTTCATATCTTTAATTTCAAAATACTCCTTTTAACAAATGAATTATTTATATAGTACGAGTAAATTGCTCTTCTTTTAAATGCCTTGTCCGTATAGGTCGTTGATTACAATGAAAGATTTGTGATTTTTGGGAAAGGCATCAACTTCTAAACTTGCATATTATATTTACATGTAAATTTTTAATAAATGCCTGTAAAATATCAATTCAGAGTGCGCTTTATAAAACTAAATAATACCATACTTTATATAGTTAATGGATTTATTTTTTGCTGAAGAACATAATGCGAGGTGGTGAATAGATATTTAGTCCCAGTCCTATAGTGGTAGCAGCTCTCATTAAAACTGTGTGCAACATCACGATCCATTTGTAAAATCGCTAATAATATGTAGAAAATATTGCTAGTATTTTTAGCGAGTATATAAAAATAATGACCCTTGTTAAGTTATTTATATTTTTAAGATCAATTTACAGATATGTGGGACTTTAAATTATTCTGTTATAAATAGTATCCAAACTATAGTGAGTGATTCATAAATCCAATCAGTTATTTAAATTATGCTAGGCTACTAAGTCGGGGATCTTAAAATAGAATAAGAAAAGAATAGATAATTGTTTTTATTCATTTATTCGTTTGTTTTAAAGAAAAATTATAAAAACTTATTATTTCTGCTGCGGAATTCCTTTATGTTTAGTCCGCCTCTGGTTCTTTGTACTTTAATTTAAGAATTTTTCTCTTCTGACCTATTGTATAAATTTAACAATAAAGACATTTGTAATAAACAGCTTCCATTATAAATCTATTCTTAGTTATTAAATCGTCATGACCTAAAATAAAAAATAAAACTTTGAGCTTCCCATTAATTGAACCTTTTTCTTATATGAAAATCCCAGTAAACTTTTTTTTTTATAAATTGAAAAAATTTAATTTATATTTTTGAAAAGTATGGGCAAATACACCAGATTGGTTTCACATGGTTTCACTCAATACTCTTGCCACTGGTTCTATTGGTTCTACCTCCATCATTCACATTTCTGCTCTTACTTTTTGTTATTCAATTAAAACGTTAGTTAATGCAAAGTCACGTTCCTGGCAAATGCAGTAATATTTCTGTTACACACAAAATTGCACAGAGTACACCTACAAATGAAATCATAACCGTTTTTTTCTCATAGTTAAGCTGATTAAAAGTCAAAGATTAATTGCAATATCTTGCTCAATTGTTGACGTGTAGTTAAATACCTAGAACTGTGTGGGCCCTTTCATGAATTATGGGTTATTTGTGTTCAAATACATGCTTACCACATATGTATATGCTCGTATCAATAGTACAGATATCCATATCTATTGATATTCTATTAAACATTCTACTACTAGTCCCCAAAGCAATGATAGTAAAGTTTTAATAGGTTCTTATATGTTTAGTCCCAAGTGTGTCAATTTGCAATATTTGTGTAAATATTAACCTCGATTGTGCTGTGCTCAGTGTTTACATCATCGCAACTGATGATTTTAGCGCCAATACTACTGATTTTCATAAAATTTAATTAGCAATTGTGAATGATGATTTCAGTTCGTGAAGTAATTGAATACAAATAGATTTATCTTGAAACCTGTAATGTCTAATAAAAGTATTAAAGTCTATAACACAAATTGAAAACTAGCAAGAAAATAATATACAGTGTTAAGATAAATATATTCTACAGACTTAATATGGATTTAAATGAATTTAAATGAGTTTATTTATATTATATAGTATACATATATTGAATTTGTTATTATACTAACACTATATACATAGTGTAAAGAGTATTATGCAAATTAATATATGAAATACAGATTTTTGTGAATAAATTTATTGAAATAAAT